TGCAATTACAGGAACAACCAGTCCACAGATTTCGCAATGATAAGTCTGTAAACATTCCTTGCGGAAAGAATTCCGACCAATCAGAAACAAGTATTGGTCATGGAGTCATGTTTGAAAAATGAGGGAACTTTGTAGAGATTAATGGTGAGTAGTTTCAGAGGAGAAATTAAAATTTAAAAAGTCTAACGGACGGACACAAAGTGATGGCATAAGCTTATTTCTTTTGGGTCAGAATAGCTAGAACGGGTTCCGGCTCTAACTGTCACGTCTAAGTAGAAAGAGTGTATATGAGCACTAACCTATCATTTCTAGGTGTTCCAGTCGGAGTTTTGGCAGGCTCAAAAATGTAGATTAGGTTTTCATGTGGTTATGTGATGATTTATGTCAGTTGCTTACCGCAGGTCGGCGGTTTCCTCCTGGTACTCGGGGTTTCTGACCAATAAAACTAACCGTCATGAAATAACCAAAATATTTATGGAAAGTTATGTTGAACCCCATCAAAGTAAAAAATTGATAATGGAACACTAGTATGACACTCTAAAATTGTGTATCAAATTCCTTCAACTAGTTTAAATATCACTACCATAAAAAAGATCAGAATTTAGCTTTCAACGATGGGACACCATTAATCATGGGATAACGGCGATAACAAATTGTTATGCCCCGGGCGCGGTAAGTATGTGTTATCCAGATCACAAGGAGCAGTCTACGTCATAAACTGGTGTTGGCTTGTATTCTATGACGATGGAAGTGTGGTTGTCAGCCGAGAACCAGCTTATCTACGTCATATACCTTTTCAATTTGAAGGGCAAGAAATAGGAAACTCGTTGTTTTATGATACTTATCCTTATATGACAATAACAAATAAACCCGCCTAATTCATCTCGAAATAATTTGGAGAAAACAAATTAAAAGTTTTTAATTATTGTTCAGTGTATTGAAGTAATCATGGCTCCATTATGATGCCGAATATGTTTCGCAGCTCAATATACAAGTTGGTAGCAGCATATGGATCTTCTGGTTTATCCAAATGATTTTCTCTCATAACAATACAAGCGAGATCAAAAACATTTTTGTCACAAATATCTTCAGGAAATAAACATTCCTCCAGACAAGCCTCAACATCCTCTGGTCGAACAGGACATAGTAAATTAAGGGTGTCTTCATTTCTCGGACAGTTGTAGAGTATTACTGGACGGCTATGTACATTCCCTTCGTACTTACACGGTCGGATTTTGTGATGGTTCCAAGTATCTACGACATTCTGGAATTCCCTCTATAAAATAAAAAATTGTACAATCTAATTATAACATTTTTAAATTTTAGAGACAATCAATTTTGGTTATGTAAACGGATTGAAAAATTACATTCATAGATACATTTTCCATTTTGTGTAATAATACATGTACTTAGTAGGATATGTAATGGTTGGTTGTCCATTGAACAGCAAATAGAACATTAAAGATAGTAATGGTACATAGTATATGTTTATCATACCTTCAAAAGTTTCATGAAACAAAACTGGAGAAGATTTTTGTCGATGAAATCCCCGGTATAAAATCCATCCTTCTTGAAAGTTTGAAACAGTGAGATCCAGAAATCTGTATTTTCTCTTCTAAGTACACTCCACCAACTTTCTATACGCTGGTTGTGTTGGCTAGTACCATATATGAATGTATTCCTATGATCATTTCGATGGAAAAACGTTTGCATCTGAGCTGTGTGTGTGTTTTCTGTCCCTAGGTCACCGCGCATTCTCAACGGTACGCCATTATTTCTTATAAAAGCTTTTATATACTATCCGGCAATTACCCGAGGGTCGCTGCTTGTTCTGTTAACATGTAGCCATACAATAAATCTGGAGTAACCTTCAATGCATCCATTAATGCAAAATCCGAAAGGCTTTAGTTTATCGTAAGAACCTAGATGCCATATAAAGTTTGGCCCTTGACCATTATATTCCCGTCTCTTAAGTTTTCGCTTCAATCTGTTATTAACACCACCAGGATTTAAAGCACGCATTAAAAGTCGCACTGTTTCTTTTCTTACGGTCAGTCCACTGTGCAAACATTTTAGGTGCATCCAGCGGTATCCATTCAGCTGTCCGGACTCTTGTACTTGTTCATGAATAAACATGGCTACGTCTAGTAGATCAAAGTAATTTTTCCTTCTGTATAATCCAAAGCTAGCCAACAGCCTTTTTAGGTGACACAAAGAAATGCCAATCCTGTGTTTTTCATTAAGGATTTGTAATATTTCCTTGTAATTAAGTCCAAGGTGAAAATACACAAAAATAAGTTGATCCCTTTCTTGCATCCTTATTTGCAACACGCTATAAAACACGATTTTACATTTCTAGCGATAGACTTTACATCTCCAGCGCTTGACTTTACATCTTCAGTGCTACACTTTATATCTTCAGCGCTAGACTTTACATCTTCAGCGCTGGACTTTACATCTCCAGCGCTGGACTTTACATCTCCAGCGCTGGACTTTACATTTCCAGCGCTTGACTTTACATCTCCAGCGCTAGACTTTATATCTCCAGCGTTTGACTTTACATCTTCAGCGCTGGACTTTACATCTCCAGCGCTTGATTTTACATCTCCAGCGCTTGATTTTACATCTCCAGCGCTGGATTTTACATCTTCAGCGCTAGACTTTACATCTCCAGCGCTTGATTTTACATCTCCAGCGCTTGATTTTACATCTCCATCGCTTGACTTTACATCTCCAGCGCTTGATTTTACATCTCCAGCGCTAGACTTTACATCTCCAGCGCTTGATTTTACATCTTCAGCGCTAGACTTTACATCTCCAGCGCTTGATTTTACATCTCCAGCGCTTGACTTTACATCTCCAGCGCTTGATTTTACATCTCCAGCGCTAGACTTTACATCTCCAGCGCTTGACTTTACATCTCCAGCGCTTGATTTTACATCTCCAGCGCTTGACTTTACATCTCCAGCGCTTGATTTTACATCTTCAGCGCTAGACTTTACATCTCCAGCGCTTGATTTTACATCCCCAGCGCTTGACTTTACATCTCCAGCGCTTGATTTTACATCTTCAGCGCTAGACTTTACATCTCCAGCGCTTGATTTTACATCCCCAGCGCTTGACTTTACATCTCCAGCGCTAGACTTTGCATATCTCCAGCGCTAGATTTTACACATCTCCAGCGCTAGACTTTACATCCCCAGCGCTAGACTTTACATCTTCAGCGCTTGACTTTACATCTCCAGCGCTAGACTTTAGATCTCCAGCGCTTGATTTTACATCTCCAGCGCTTGACTTAACATCTCCAGCGCTTGATTTTACATCTCCAGCGCTAGACTTTACATCTCCAGCGCTTGACTTTACATCTCCAGCGCTGGACTTTACATCTCCAGCGCTTGATTTTACATCTCCAGCGCTTGACTTTACATCTCCAGTGCTTGATTTTACATCTTCAGTGCTAGACTTTACATCTCCAGCGCTTGATTTTACATCTCCAGCGCTTGACTTTACATCTCCAGCGCTTGATTTTACATCTCCAGCGCTAGACTTTACATCTCCAGCGCTTGATTTTACATCTCCAGCGCTTGACTTTACATCTCCAGCGCTTGATTTTACATCTCCAGCGCTAGACTTTACATCTCCAGCGCTTGACTTTACATCTCCAGCGCTGGACTTTACATCTCCAGCGCTTGATTTTACATCTCCAGCGCTTGACTTTACATCTCCAGCGCTTGATTTTACATCTTCAGCGCTAGACTTTACATCTCCAGCGCTTGATTTTACATCCCCAGCGCTTGACTTTACATCTCCAGCGCTAGACTTTGCATATCTCCAGCGCTAGATTTTACACATCTCCAGCGCTAGACTTTACATCCCCAGCGCTAGACTTTACATCTTCAGCGCTTGACTTTACATCTCCAGCGCTAGACTTTAGATCTCCAGCGCTGGACTTTACATCTCCAGCGCTAGACTTTACATCTTCAGCGCTGGACTTTACATCTCCAGCGCTAGACTTAACATCTTTAGCGCTAGACTTTACATCTCCAGCGCTAGACTTTACGCATCTTCAGCGCAGGACTTTAAAAGACACTTTATAATCTGTGTGAGACCAACAGGGCTCCGTACGTATTCGTATGGCGCGTGGTGCATTGATATATAACCGGATACACTGACATAGCCGACGAAACCGCCCTCGTTTTATTTAAAGTTCAGTAGATTCCCTCAGGTATTTTGGAAGTTTAAATATTTGGTTTGAGCATAAGGTAAATCCAGATAGGCGTTTTTGATGATTGATTGTTGGTGTTTAACAACTCTTTTAGAACTGTTGGATCTTTTGTTGCGGAAAGATTTGAATAGGCATCAAACGCATCAAATTCATAAAGTTTCGACTGTATCATTTCCTGTTTTGTTTATTTATCGGATCCACCAGGTTTGAACATCGGTTGGGGAACGACCATTTAACTTCAAGGGGAGGGGGTTATGTTTTTTTCTTAAATAAATATTCTGATCCCCAATTTGATGGAAAAAAATATTGTGGTCAAGCAGATGACAAAAAAAATTCATCCCCCCCATCCCCATCCCCCCCCCCCCCCCCCCCCAACCCCTTGAAGTTAAATGGTTGCTCCCTTGATTATATTTTGTAACTATTGTTGTCTCTTCCTAAGCTAAAAGTAAAAGCAAATATCCATGAATGAAATACAAGGACAAATGTATTCTCTTCAATCATTATTTCAATTTGAATGTCAACGTTTTACGCATTTGCTATGAAGTTGAGATATTTAAAAACCGGAGCCAAGATGACAAAACAGAAAAAAAAGATGATGTAATAGTGCGGAATTAAACCTATAGAAGTTCAAAGCTATAGGAATTAATCATTTTCTAAAAATTGTAAACCTAATAAAGAGACAAATAAAGAGTAAAGAAAATTAAACTCTCAAATTATCTTACGAAATGATATCAAACATATTATGTAAACACTAAACTTTAATGCGTCGTAATATGGAATAATGGTAGTCTCATTTTACTCATTCAAACATATCTTCACATCTGTAAATAACAGTATCAATGTTTTATCACTTTAAACCGAATGCATTGCAGTTAACTTCCTGATTGAGTTTATCACAAGGAGTTTCACCACAAAGGTACTGCTCATTATTATTATTATTCATTTGATTCAACATAAGAAACGCTTTATTTTCATGTAGATGTTTGCACGATTTTCTATATTTTCAATCCGTTCTTTATTTTCGTATAGAAACGATATTTGCGCAATTTACTATATTTCATATTTATTTGCTATGATGTCTACTATTGTATTCAGACGTGTCATTATATTATATTTGCAAAAGGCACTACGAATTTTGATTAGTCAAGAAATGAAATATCAAACAGCAATACGTGTTCCCTCTTAAATTGTTCTTGATGGTAAAAGTGTTATATTCACATGTCTTTGGTTGTTAAAGTAAAATTGTGAACTTTCCATTTCTATGTAGCAACATTCCAGTACCACCTGCATATGGAGTATATGTCTCCAAGTTGATACGATATTCCAAAGCTTGCGTTCCCTGTCACGATTTCCTTGATAGAGGGTTGCTGCTTACAAAGAAGCTATTGAACCAAGGGTTTCAAGTGGTAAAGTTAAGTCATTCCTTCGAATGTTTTACGGACGCCATCATGGGTTTGTTGACCGTTTTGGAATTTCTTTGTCACATACGATCACAACTATGTTCCAATTGTCCTAACTAAAATCATGTTCTCTGTTCATCGATTGTTCAATCGCCAAATGATTCAACACAATGGGTTCCACTTGTGGAGTAAGAAAAGCCTAACTTTCCGGAGCATCTGCGTTCACCTCCATGGGTTTTTTATGGGGTTCGTGTTGCCCAATCTTTTGTGTTCTGTGCAGTGTTTTGTGGCTGTGTTCGTGTTGCCCAATCTTTTGTGTTCTGTGCAGTGTTTTGTGGCTGTGTTCGTGTTGTCCAATCTTTTGTGTTCTGTGCAGTGTTTTATGGCTGTGTTCGTGTTGCCCAATCATTTGTGTTCTGTGCAGTGTTTTGTGGCTGTGTTCGTGTTGTCCAATCATTTGTGTTCTGTGTAGTGTTTTGTGGCTGTGTTCGTGTTGCCCAATCTTTTGTGTTCTGTGCAGTGTTTTGTGGATTTGTTCGTCTTTTCGTAGTTTTTTGTTTTAGCCATTGCGATGTCAGTTTCTTCGACTTATAAGAAGATTGCATAAAAAGACAAATTTGTTAAAATTAACTTAGATTAGCTTTTTAAATAAATATGCTACTATTTTCTCAAAATATCCGTATAAATAACCAATGATTTTTATAGAAGGAATTCAGGATTGAAGTAACGTGGAATCTCACTTCATCTCGCGTATCATCGATATTTCTAATGAAATTTAGAACCCTCTATTTGACAATATTTATTCAACTAATCAGCATTATTTGAAATAAATCGGGTTTTGTATCTTAATTTAACCTTTACGGTTGAAATGCACAAAAAGTCTTTACCTTTAGTGCTCTAAAATCTTTGGATCCTTCCAGAATTAAGATTTACTTCATAACTCTAACATTGGTCTCATTATTAAAAAAAAGTTTAAACTAATTATGATATCAAAGATTTTTTTCAATTTTGACAATACAAAAGACAAGGTTCACTTTTAACAAAATACGGCCTTTAATTTCAACTTTATCATAAAATTTTAAAAAGGCCCCAATATTGTTCAAAAGTGGATCTATTAAAGCCTGATTCCGAATTAAAACAAATCTGTTCATGATAACACATTATAGGCTCCAAAGTCGGCACATTTTGGACATTCTGTTCAAATATGACGATTTTGTGCCTTTTTTGCTCTTAAAATCTTTAAGAAAAATTTGGCCGAAACATACAATCCACAATCCAAAATGTTCTGTAACCAAAAGGTGCCAAGGTTAATAGATACAAGAAGATGTGGTATGAGTGCCAATGAAACAACTCTCCATCCAAGTCACAATTTGTAAAAGTAAACCATTATAGGTCAAAGTACGACCTTCAGCACGGAGCCTTGGCTCACACCGAACAACAAGCTATAAAGGGCCCCAAAATGACTAGTGTAAAACCATTCAAACAGGAAAACCAACGGTCTAATCTATATAAAAATCGAGAAACGAGAAACACTTATGAACCATGGCGAATCCCTAGACACAAGCAAATTCTGAATCTTGGATGGCGGCCAAAGTAAATTATGCTAAAAACTGTTCTAAATTAACGAAAAATTGGACAATAAATAACATTACAACACAGATCATGCATAATAAGGGGAACAGAAATTCATGATTTATAATGTGAGGAGCTAAAAGGAAGTTTTTTTTTGTAGCATTTTGGCCTGATAAAAAAAAACATAAACATATCAGTCATTCGCATGCTTTCTCCTTTGATTCTCTCGCGACTTGATGTACTGTTATTTTTGATGTGTTTAAAATACAATGGTTTTCTTTATAATAGAATGGAATCCGGCGTTTTCGATGAAACATCATATTTTTAAATTTGTAAACTTGTGTTTCAATGACAGGTTCAATAAAGAACATAGATATTACAAAAGACCAAATTCAATATGATGTACCATGTGTGCACTTCGAATACACATCCTTCTCTCCACTGGTGCTCGAAACAAAATATTGAAAAAGCCGAATATTACGAACAATTAAAAAGTAATATCCTCTGTTCCTGCATCAATGTAGAATCGATGAATTCAAACTTGTATACTAGTATACTAACAAGAAAAAAATATTCTTAAATTAAGTATTTCATTTTATTGTCAATAATTCATTTTAGAAGGCTCTATTTTATGAATTGAATGAATATATTTACCTAAAAAGTAAACGCGGATATAGTCGGTGAGGAGAGAAAAAACAAGATTGTTTTACACTCTGTAAACCAGGTAACATTTATTTTCTATTTAAGAATGTGCATCAATGATCAAGGTGCAGAACAATGCAAAATATGACACATCAAAGCGGTTAGAATACTTGTCAAATCAAACTTTTAATGCGTCGTGATATCAATATTTTTTGTTGTTGTTGAAAACATCTAAGGTTTGCAAATACAGTAGAGAATAGATATGACGATGTGTGTCTATCAAGTATGAGAGAGCTAAATACATTGAAATCTATGTTCTGTGACTTTCGTTAACGCATAATGTAAAAACTATCTGACAGATAAAAAATTTACATGCTCAGATGCATTACATTAGTAGTTATGTCATTGTATGACCTTATATAATTATGCACTGAAAATCTTGATTTTAGATATTGTTTTGGCCAAATTTGAATAAGTTTTGATAGGTTTTGCTACCGACGACATTCGCCACATGTATGGACCACCAGAACTTTTTATTAGGATGTGTATCACCTATATGTATATCTTTAATAATAAATTCGGAGAGTGTGACCAATGAAGGAAGGCAGATTTGCATATGATAAATCGTGAATATTGAAATTATACATGCCACTAGAAATTTATTTTAATTAAACCCAAATTGAAGCCTTAATGGGCCTTACTACTTTCGAAGAATATATACACGTACTTGCTAGTTTAGGGAGAATCTCTACAAAAAATCAGCTTAAATATGATATTTCTGAGGAACTAAATGGTGGGCATTTTCAGCTGATTGCAGTTTAAAATGATAACAATTATCTTGGAGTTAAATGAAGAATAAATATACTGGCATACAAAAATATATCCCTGAAGAAATCAGGGCGGATTAATAAGGGAGATTCTTGGTACTCGTATCCCCTCCAAGCAGAAACCTGTCATACTTTGTAACATACATGACTTCTCGTTTTTATTTAGATATAAAGAAGTTGATCTCTACTTAGCAAAAATAAATACCGTGGTACAGAAAATAAATATGGGTCGAAAATGCAGCCTGGAATTTAAAAGTATACATGTTTATTATAATAACTCAATGGTTTATCCGCTAAATCTATCAAGGAGAAAGAGTTGTTAAAAGGGCATTGTTACTTGAAGAGAGCATGACACATTCCCTAAAATAGGCATCAGATTCATCGTCATAATTTTGACCGGGTGTGGTTGTGCATCTCATTCAACCAAACGGACGAAGCTTTTGAGGGAATCATACCCTGAAACAGAAACTATTACCTATTCTAATAACCGGGATACTCCATCCATGTCCAGTGTTAAATGTAAAAACAATATTGTCGACATCGCGATATTTACAATGTTAACAAGATTTCGTGTCAACATCGTTAACATTGTAAGAATTCTTATATACTGTTTACATCGTTGACTACGATAACATCGCGATGTATACAATGTAGTAATGATATCGTGTTTACAGCGTGATATTAACAATGTTGACACGATATAGTGTCAACATCGTTAACATTGTAAGAACTCTTATATACTGTTGACATCGTTGACATCGTTAACATCGCGAAGTATATAGTGTAGTAACGATATCGTGTTTACATCGCGATATCAACAATGTATACACGATGTCGGGTCAACATCGTTTAAATTGTAACAACTCTTATATACTGTTTACATCGTTGACATCGTTAGCATCGCTATTAATGTATTATCAATATCGTTTTTACGTCGTTTACATTGCAGTGTTAACGAATTCGTGTCAACATCATTTATATTGTTCGTTAGACTCGGACAAGCTACGAGTTGAAAAAAAATATAGAAGAGATCAAAATAGCAAAAAATCACCGAAAATGACAACATTGAGTTGTTATGTGTTAAGGTATAGACTCGGTACACAATATAAACACGATTTTAAAACAATATAGTTAACATCGCGATTTTGAAGAGGCAAACGATGTAAACACAAAGCAAAAATGTAAACACACAGATATAGTCTCGGTATACAATATAAATAAGATGTCGAAACGATATTGGTCAACATAGCGATGTTTACAATGTAAACGATGTAAACACAAAGGTAAAGACTCGGTGAACAAAATTGACACGATGTCGGCACGATATTTCTAATTGCGATTTTGACGATGTAAACGATGTAAAAACACAACTAAAGACTCAGTTTACATTATAAAAACGATGTTTACACGATATTGTCAACATCACGATGTTGACGATGTGAACGATGTAAACACAAAGTCTCGTTATACAATAT